AGGGTGAGCCCGCTCACTCTGGCAGCCTGGAATGTTCGTTCCCTTTTAGACAATCCGAGAAGCAACTGACCGGAACGGTGGACGGCGCTAGTGGCACGAGAACTGGCGCGCTACAAGGTGGACATCGCCGCACTCAGCGAGATCCGATTCTCTGAACAAGGCCAACTGGAGGAGGTGGGTGTCGGTTACACCTTCTTCTGGAGTGGTCGACCCAAGGCAGAGCGACGAGACGCGGGCGTTGCCTTCGCTATCCGGAATGACATCGTGGGACGACTGCCCAGCCTGCCGCAGGGCATCAACGATCGCCTGATGAGCCTCTGTCTGCCTCTCCGCCGGGGTGGGGGCAAATTCGCCACCATCATCAGCGCCTACGCTCCGCCGATGAGCAGCCCCGAAGCCGCCGCAAGAGACAAGTTCTACGAGGACCTACACGCCCTCTTGGCGACTGTGTCGAAGGCGGACAAGTTGATTGTCCTTGGCGACTTCAACGTCCGCGTCGGCACAGACCATACTGCCTGAAGGGGAGTGCTGGGTCCCCACGGTCTCCGCGGCTCCAAAGACAACGGCCTGCTGTTTCTCCGCACCTGCGCAGAACACCGCCTCATTCTGACGAACACGTTCTTCCGTCTGCCGGAGCGAGAGAAGGCCACCTGGAGGCATCCTCGGTCGCGTCAGTGGCACCTGCTGGACTACGTCCTCGTCCGGAGGCGAGATCAGCGTGACGTGCTGGTGACGAAGGCGATCGCGGGTGCTGATGGGTGGACCCACCATTGCCTCGTCCTCTCGAAGATGCGTATCCGTCTACAGCCTCGCAGGAGACCACAAGGTAAGCGACCCCCAGATAAGCTGAATGTTGCTTTGTTGTCCTTGCCCGCTCATCATTTTCATTTCAGCAATGCGCTAGCTCAACGGCTAGACAACCTTCCAATCGCTGCCGCCGACGACGCCGCCGCTGCCGAGAACGCCTTCGTGGAGAACCGCTGGTGTCGACTGCGAGACACGGTCCAGGCGACGGCGCTCGCCGTCCTCGGTCGCGCTCCCCGCCAACACCAGGACTGGTTCGACGACAACGACGCCGCCATCAGAAATCTGCTTACGGAGAAGAACCGCATACACAAAGACTACGTAGATCACCCCACTGAGGACAACAAAGCTGCCTTCTACCGCAGTCGCCGACAGCTTCAGCAACGACTGCGCGAGATGCAGGACGCCTGGACTGCTCGCAAAGCTGAGGAGATCCAAGGCTACGCGGACCGCAAGGAATGGAAGAACTTCTTCTCTGCGATCAAAGCCGTCTACGGTCCGCCGACGAAGGGCACTGCTCCTCTCCTCAGCGCCGACGGCAGCACACTCCTGACTGAGAAGACGCAAATCCTACAGCGATGGGCCGAGCATTTCCGGGGCGTCCTCAACCGCCCTTCCGTCATCTCCGACGCCGCCATCGAACGTTTGCCTCAAGTGGAGACCAACGTGGACCTCGACCTCCCGCCATCTCTCCAGGAAACCGTCAGGGCTGTCCGGAGCAATTCACTCAGATGGTGCGTCAGCTGCACGACGGTATGATGGCGCGAGTCACGGACAACGGATCTGTCTCAGAGGCATTCGAAGTGACCAACGGAGTGAAGCAGGGATGCGTGCTGGCACCAACCCTCTTCCGTCATATGTTCTCTGCCATGCTGATGGACGCCTACCGCGACGAACGCCCCGGAATCCGCATCGCCTACAGGACGGACGGTCATCTACTGAATCAATGGCGCTTGAACTTCCAATCGCGCGTATCCACAGCTACCGTGCACGAACTCCTCTTCGCCGACGTCTGCGCCCTGAACACCACCTCCGAAGCGGAGATGCAACGCAGCATGGACCTATTCTCCGCCCCCTGCGAGAACTTTGGGCTGGTTATCAACACGCAGAAGACGGTGGTGATGCACAACCGCCAACCTACTCAGCCACAGCCCCCAACGCGCCGCCGCAAATCAGCGTGAACGGAACCCAACCGCAAGTGCTAGAGAACTTCCCCTACCTGGGAAGTACCCTATCTCGCAAAACAAAGATCGATGAAGAAGTCGCAAAAAGGATCTCGAAATCCAGTCAAGCCTTCGGACGCCTCCAAAGCACAGTTTGGAATCCCCACGGTCTTTAACTGAACACAAAGCTGAAGATGTACAAGGCCGTCATCCTGCCGACGCTAATGTATGGAGCGGAGACTTGGACGGTGTACACGAGGCACGCACGCCGACTGAACCACTTCATCTTAGTTGTCTTCGTAGCATCCTGAGGCTGAACTGGCAGGATCGAATCCCCGACACGGAAGTACTGGAACGAACGGGAATCCTCAGCATCTACGCCATACTGAGACAAATGCAGCTGCCCTGGAGCGGCCACCTGGTGCGCATGGACGACGAGCGACTACCCAAGCGAGTGGCGGACTGGTGGGCTGGGGACGGGCTAAAGCAGCACCTTCCACGGCCCTCTCATGCAAGTGAGAGACAAGCCGCTCAACCCCCGTTGTGTGAAATCCTGGTGTTTGTGTGTGTATGGGGGGCCAGGTCGTGCTGTGG